TCAACCCAAGAGATGTTCTCACAGAGATGCACAGGGAATCATGTTCAAGCACATTCACTGTGAGGCTGGGGCTGCAGCTCTGGGGCAGAGGCTTGCCTGGCATGCACAAGGTCCTGGGTTCAATGCCAGCACAGAAAAAACAAAAACAAAACTGCTGTATTGGACATTTATCATAAATTCAGACAACCTTTTTTTTTTTTTTTGGTATCTGGGGTTGAATTCAGGGGCATTTGACCACTGAGTCACATCCCCAGCGTATTTTTTGTATTTTATTTAGAGACAGGGTCTCACTAAATTGCTTAGTGCCTCACTGTTGTTGAGGCTGGCTTTGAACTTCTGATCCTYCGAGCCACTGGGATTACAGGGTGCGCCTTAGCGCCTGGCTCCTCAGACAACCTCTGGAATTATCAATAAATATGTAGCCTGGCCTCACACCACTCATACACAAACCAAATGTTCACCAAAACAATGGCTAAATGAGACKCGGTTAGCTCAGGGCTAAGGGTGCAGCTCAGTCCTAAAGTGCGWGCCTCGGATGTGCAAGACCCTGGGTTCCCCAGTACCCCTCGTCCCCCCCAAAAAGTGGTTAATTTACATTAATGTGCAAAAATGTGAGAGCTGGGGACAGGTCCAAAGGAACAGTTAGGGAAGTGTCTCCAAGTTAATTTGGAGTTAAAAGAAACTGCAATATGGGATACATATTACAACATTTTCTTTAAACACACGACAAAAATAATGTTTTTCCATGGTAATGCATATGTGGAGTTACATGAGTAAAGGGGCTTTTGGTCTTATCCATATTTTTTTTTAACAAAGGAACTGTTAGTTTACCAGTGGTATAATTAAAGTTAATGAATAAAAAGTAAAACATGGGGCTGGGGATACAGCTCAGTTGGTAGAGTGCTCGCCTCGCAAGCACAAGGCCCTGGGTTCAATCCCCAGTAAACCATGAAAACACGTAAGGTTAATTAAGTTCCCTYTTTGGGAGACTAAAGAATTTCAACTGCCTCAAAATATCAGAGTGGTAGGAGCCTTTGGTCCTAGCTGCTTGGGAGGCTGAGGCAGGGGGATTCCTTGWGTCCAGGAGCTGGAGACCAGCCTTGAGCAACATCGGGAGACCCCATCTCAACAAAGCAAAGCAAAACAGACCACAAATACAAATAAAATAAATTAAAAAATAGAAAACGTACAAGAAAAAGTCCCTTCGGTGTGGGAGGTAAAATTTAGCTTGGGTGACATTAGCAGACATTTCGAAATCTGATGTTTTGCTGTGGAATCAACTTTTCCAAGCAAAATTTTAGACAAAGATGGAAGTCCCTGCCCCCCATAGAGCGTCTATAAAGCCAACAAGAGTTTTAAATTTATTTATTTATTTAGACATACSGGGGATCAACCCACTAAGTTTCAATAGTAAATATAAAATCCGGGCTGTGACTACCAATCTCAACTGGCCCCAGACTTTTGATCCTTTCCACAGAATCCGCAGGCACACACTGCCACCTGGTGGCTGGGGCTCACATTGCAGTTTGTCCTTTAGTCCTCAAATCTTACTAAACCAAGGCTTTCTTGTTTGGATATTCCTTAAAAGCAAAATGTTTTAGAAATTTGGAAGTCTTAYCTAGGGCTGTTGATTTTAAATTTTGACAAAGATTTTTCAAAAAGCTTACTATTTTCCATCATTTCCAGTTTTGTGAAGGAACAGACATTTAAGACCAAATGAATCAGAAAAAACGTAAGCACAGATAAAAGGACAGTCCTGCTCCCAAAGGACCATGAAGAATTGCCCAGGCATGGTGGTGCCGCCTGTAATCCCAGCTCCTCGGGAGGCTGAGGCAGGAGGATCACAAGTTGGAGACCAGCCTCAGTAACTTAGTGAGACCCTAGCTGGGTGTGGTGGTGCCTGAAATCCCCAGCAGCTAGGGAGGCTGAG